TATAGAAAACTGAAGGACCAGGTAAAGAGAGGGAGGAGAATAGAAAAGGAAGAAAGATGAGAAGAAAAAATGCATATTTACAGGAGTAGAGGAATTGGTAAAAGAAAGGAGTGGAGTGGGGTGGGGTGGAGTGAAGTGAAGTGGGACTTACAATGAACAGAAAATGCTAGAATGAATAAAAAGAAAGTTAAGGAGGAAGGCTGGGGACTGAGGGTTTAAAGAAGTGAATTGGGAAATAGTGAATGGAGAGAGAGAGAGCAGTCTTATATGCTGGAATAGTAGGCATTATTAAACCGCTGAAAGACACACAAACAGACAATACCAGACACATACAGAAGGGCAGACATACACACACACACAGAGACAAAAACAAGACATAGGCAGGAAACAGACCTGAACCTGTACCTACAGAAATAAGCTGAGAGGTGATGAGAGACCAGGGGGGGTGGGGGGTGGAAGTGCGTCCTTACCATCAACACCGTTTCCCTCACCCCTCCGCCTCCCTCTCAGGTGTGGCCCTCACCCCACCCTGGGTCTAAGGTGAAATATGTAGCTTGGGGGTTAATGTGGGTTAAGGGGGGGGGGTGGCTATCTAGGTTCGCTGTGGCCATGTTAATGTGGCTATGGTGATGTGGTGGCCATAGTGAGGTTGAGAGGTCCATGGTGATGTGGTGCCATAGTGAGGTTGAAGGTCCATGGTGATGTGGAGGCCATAGTGAGGTTAGTGGTCCATGGTGATGTGGTGGCCATAGTGAGGTTGAGAGGTCCATGGTGATGTGGAGGCTATCGAGTGGACCAACATGGCCAGGGTAATTAACGGTCATTAACTCTAATCATCTTACAATCTTAAAGGATTAGTGATAATTTGCCGACTAATTGACGTGACCATTACTATCTAATTTGGGGTGTAACTGCCTTAGGGCCAGGTGTGGTATGTTGGCCATGATGGTGTTGAGAGATGGCCATTTTGGGGGTCTTCGGGCCATGATGGGTTAAGTCTTATGGTTATGGTAGAGTCAGGATGTGGCCATTGTAGGGTACGGGTGTGGCCATAATAGGGTCAACATATGGTCATTGTAAAATATTTAAGACGTGGCCATGATAAGGTCCGTTTGTGGCCATGGTGAGATAAGGATATAAACATGTTAGTGTCAGGAAATGGTCATGGTAGAGTCATGATATGGCCATTGTAAAATAATGAAAATGTGGCCATATTAAGCTCTGTATGTGGCCAAATAAATGACTAAAATTAATTTGCATATTACAAAAACTAATCCCAATTAATCGAAGGGAAAAAACAATTATAGCCGTAATATAAATAGGGAATTATAGGGAATTATCAACAACAAATGATAGGATTTTTAAAAAGGTAATTATTTCGGATTATAGAAATTATTCCAAATTATCCCATGAATACAAATGCTATCCATAATTCAGGTGGAAATTATATATAATAATTAATAGGTTTTTGGAATTATTAATAGTTTCATATTATAGATTTGGCCCTATGATTTTTATCAACACTCGGGGCTATTGGTAGGTTAAGTTAGGTTAGGTTAGGTTAGCAGACTTATATTGGCCAATTAGTGAAAAAGTTCCACAATACAGGTAGACATTCATTCAGGTAGGTAAGATTAATTAAAGGTGTCTGGAGCTTTGTGTGTGTGTGTGTGTGTGTGTGTGTGTGTGTGTGTGTGTGTGTGTGTGTGTGTGTGTGTGTGTGTTTGTTTGTTTGTTTGTTTGTTTGTTTGTTTGTTTGTCTATTTTCTTGCATAATCTATCATGTCATTACGTTAGGAGGCAATCAATACCAAGACGCTGCCACACACATTCTCTCTCTCTCTCTCTCTCTCTCTCTCTCTCTCTCTCTCTCTCTAATAGGTCAAATGAGCGTCTGTTTAGTCACTGTGTCGAGGTCATTTAGACTGTCGTTGGGTGATGATGATGAAGCATCTTTTATACCCAGTCAGTAATTGCCAGTTACCGGTTACAGGGGTCGTTGGGGGGAGGGGAGAGGTAGTTCGTGTCATTAATCACCAATCATTCCTTCCTGGAGTTGATGAGTCACCAGTCTGTTGTCACCAGTCTTGGGTAACTGGTGAGTGTTTATTTGTATCACTTATTTTGGTTTCTCTCTCTCTCTCTCTCTCTCTCTCTCTCTCTCTCTCTCTTCTCTTCTCTTCTCTTTGTCTTTCTCTTTCTCTTTCTCTCTCTCTTCTCTTTCCTCTTCTCTTCCCTCTTCTCTTCTCTTCTCTTCTCTTTCTCTTTGTCTTTCTCTTTCTCTCTCTCTTCTCTTTCCTCTTCTCTTTCTCTTTCTCTTTATGGACAAGTTATTAGTGTTAGTTAAGCCCTTATTAGTTAGCGGTCATTATCTGTGGTCATTTGTGTCTCACTGAACACCTAATTAGTAAGGAACATTAACTAGTAATTAGTGTTTATTGTTTGCTAGTCACCAAGTCATCGTTCCTAGTTACTAGTTATCCTCTTCTATCACTAGATATATCACCATTTATCAGTTACTAGGCATTAGTTCATTAAGCATGGTGACTACTGGTCACTAATCACCATTTACCTATCACTGAGCAATCAATCACCACCCACCTTGAAGACTGAACCAATCACCAACCAAGACCTCATTAGCCATTATCATTCATACCTGCATAAATCATTACCATTCATCGACTAAATTACCTTTAAGATGATTAGGATCCAATTACCATGGTGAGCTGTCGTGACCTCCCGAAAAAATTAGATTGAAATTGGGTGTGGGGGCCATTAAAAAAACATTTGTAAAACACTTAGTGACAATTATAGCTCTAGCGTCATTAAGGTTAATTAAAGCGGAAATTATTGACCTCAGATGGTAGTTTGGGGGTGAGAGGAGGGGAGGAAGGGGGATTTATGGGTGGGGGGAGGAGGGAAGGGGGATTATGGCAGGTGAGGGGGGGTGGACCACGGCTTTGAGTTTGAGTAATGATGCTTGTGAGAGAGAGAGAGAGAGAGAGAGAGAGAGAGAGAGAGGTGCGTATGTATATATGTAATATGCATGTATGTATGTATGTATGTAATGTCCTTCATAATTTTTCGTTGTTTTCGGTATTTCACCATTTCGATTTTTATTTACACAGGTATAAATGAGCTTCTATATTTTTTTTTACCTGCCTTCACTAATTGGGTCATTCCGAGCGTGGTATAGTTCGTGTTCCTGGTATACAGTAAGTATTTGCACAGGTGTTTAATGAGTTTTTATATTTTACCTGACCTAGACTGCACACCTGTGGAAATTTACATACGTTTTTTTTATTAGTTATTTCTTACATGACTTAACTTATACACCTGGTAATTTATTCAAGTCTGTCTAGAAGTGTTTTTTTTTTATTTAATCTAATTGATTGTATTTGTCCCCCAGTGTTTTTGTTACTGTTTTTGTTTTGTTGTTGTTGGTGCTGTGTTTGTTGTTGTTGTTGTTGTTGTTGTTGCTGCTGTGTTTGTTGTTGTTGTGTTTGTTGTAGATATTTCAATTGCTGAACTTTATTTGTTATCTTCTTGTAATGGATAATGTTATATTTTATTACCTATATGTAAAAAAAAGTCCTTAAAATCTGTAAAAAAAAAAAAAAAAATATAAGGTGTAAAAAAAAAAACATTATAAAATTTGCAAATAAGAAAAAATTACATATCAAAAATATCTTTAAAAAACTCGGTGGGGATTATATTAAATTATACCCATGTAATAATAACAGAAAAGGTAAATAATAATTCCTATTTTACATCATGAAGCGGAATTGTGGAGTGATTTCGCCATTACTGTACCGGCATAGGAACTAAACTGAAATTAATACTCGGGGAGGGGGAGAGGGGAGTGGGGGAGAGGGGGAGAGGAGTGGGTGAGGGGGGAGGGGAGTGGGTGAGGGGGAGGTAAATTAATTCCGATGGCGTATGAGTGTCATTAAACGTTGGTGTATTTATTATTAATACTTGACGATGTATAACTGTATGTATGATACTGAGTGCGTGTCTCTCTCTCTCTCTCTCTCTCTCTCTCTCTGTCTCTCTGTCTCTCTGTCTCTCTGTCTGTCTCTCTGTCTGTCTGTCTGTCTGTCTGTCTCTCGCATTGAAACAGCGAAGGAGAAAGCACTTAGTTGAAAGCTTTCCTTGAGTGTTAATAACTAATTTGCATATACTCCAAGACGCTCTTAGCCAGTGGATAAAGCCCAGTTGTGATGCAAAAGGAATGCTTGATGAGGTGGTTCGTGTCAGAGGTGGCAGGGAGGTGTGCCACGGTGGTATGATGTCACAGAGAGAGAGAGAGAGAGAGAGAGTACACATATTTCATCTTTACTATTTTATATTTTGATTTTATTTTCATCTTCTTTCTTTCATTCTTTGTTTAGCCTTTCCCTTAATATGTGTGTGTGTGTGTGTGTGTGTGTGTGTGTGTGTGTGTGTGTGTGTGTGTGTGTGTGTGTGTGCGCGTGTGTGTGCGCGTGCGTGTGCCCCATTCGTGTTCATTATCTTTATTTCACGTTTTGCTTCACATATCTTTCTCTTGTTTCCTGCTTTTCTGTTTCCACTTTCTTAACCTCTCTTACCTTCTCTTCTTCCTCGTTTACTTATTCTCCGTTTCGTTTCGCTTTGGTTCAGTGTCTTGTCGTTTATTTCATCTTTTCACTTTTTTTTATTTTTTATTAATTATTATTATTATTATTATTATTATTATTATTATTATTATTATTATTATTATTATTATTATTGTTGTTGTTTTAGTTATTTTTATTGTTATAGTTGTTATTATTATTATTATTATTATTATTATTATTATTATTATTATTATTATTATTATTTTGGTCAGGTGTGAGAGGCAGAAATAGACAGGTAATTCATTAATTAATCAATCAACAGACTCGTCACCTGTATGTAAAATTAATCATTAGGGCGACGCATTTTAAATTAGATCAACCGGATTTAAATGATCTTATTTTTTTTTTACTGTGATTCCCTTAATAAGAAATAGAGGGCCGGGTGGATGAGGGCCGGGTGGACGGGGGCCGGGTGGATGAGGGCCGGGTGGACCGTGGCCGGGTGGATGAGGGCCGGATGGACGGGGGGCCGGGTGGACGGTGGCCAGGTGGATGAGGGCCGGGTGGACCAGTGGCTGGGTGGATGAGGGCCGGGTGGACGGTGGCTGGGTGGATGAGGCCGGGTGGACGGTGGCCAGGTGGATGAGGGCCGGTGGACAGGGGCCAGGTGGACGGTGGCCAGGTGAGGGGCAGGGTGGACAGGGGCCGGGTGGACAGTGGCCGGGTGGATGAGGGAGCCCGGGTGGACCCAGGGGGCCAGGTGGACAGTGGGGTGGACAGGGGCCAGGTGGACAGGGGCCGGGTGGACAGGGGCCAGGTGGACCAGGTGCCGGGTGGATGGGGCCGGGTGGATGAGGGCCGGGTGGACAGTGGCGGGTGGACGGTGGCCAGGATGGACAGTGGCCGGATGGACGGTGGCCAGGTGGACGGTGGCCGGTGGACGGTGGCCGGGTAATTAGTATTGGTGCTCATTTAGGCTTGTTTACTCTCTGGAGCCGATTATTAATTGGGACGTAATTGACACACTTAAGCTGTTGTCATCCGGAAGGAATCGACTAATTTTTAGGGTAAACCTTAGCGTTGTTTTATTATTATTATTATTATTATTATTATTATTATTATTATTATTATTATTATTATTATTATTATTTTGAATATATTGTGATAGCGAGTGTATAGGGATTTACACCTACTGTAAATTGAGTTGTAAATGTAATTAGGATTTGATAGGTACTAATAGTAGGAACTTTATGTAAATGTCCATGATTGGAATTTCGTAAGCATATGGGCAGGAGAGAGAGAGAGAGAGAGAGAGAGAGAGAGAGTATTCGTGGTGTCACAAATTAAAATATCTTTAATTCCAATATGTCAGGTGTGTATATAACTAAAGATTTGTTAAATTATAAACTAAAGGTAAAAAATTATAAATAAACTCGAGAACCTGAATTAAACTAACACAATGGTACGGTTTTAACACCTGTCACGTAATAACACTGCACCTGTGACTTAACTAATTAATTAACATCGATCCAAAACAAATGATACACCTGTTCTCCTAAGCTACTCTGATCTACGCTAATTTGCAAACCATTACAGGAAATCACTAGCGTATATTAACGTACGTACGCAAACTACAACGTTTAGGTGTTAATACTAAAATACCTTCGAGTTACTGAATGACGCCGGGTATTACTCAGGGATTTATTTAAGTATTATGGTAATTCTGACTGGTGTTCACTTAATCCCTAATACCAGGTGATTTACCCAAGGATAAATTCTCCTACATTGCTATATCCATTTATCCTGACACGTAATACGAGGGGATTTGACCAAGTTTAGAAATACACACACACACACTCTCTCTCTCTCTCTCTCTCTCTCTCTCTCTCTCTCTCTCTCTCTCTCTCTTGCCTGTCTGTCTGTCTGTCTGTCTGTCTGTCTCAACAATCTACTCTTCGCTGACCGTCGTGTTGGTGTTGTCTGTCTATGGAAATCCTCACGTGTTGGAGTAAAGGTTGTAGGAGGTTAGGTTAGGTTAGGTTAGGATAGGTTGGGTTAGGTTTGGTTGGGATAGGTTGGGTTAGGTTGGGTTAGGTTAAGTGACTGGGAGATGGCTTTGTTGATCCCCTGTTGATAGTGATAACCTGTTTATATTACTGTGTGTCTAGTTGGAGAGAGAGAGAGAGAGAGAGAGAGAGAGAGAGAGAGAGAGAGAGTAATAAGAACATTTTACGGTATATTGATAAAGATAATGATGATAATGATAATAAACATGATGATAGTGATGATAATAGGTTAATTTAGGTCGTAATAATAATAATAATAATAATAATAATAATAATAATAATATGTATGTAATAATAATACCGGTATTAAGTTAAAAAAGAAGAAACAGAGAATATAACAATACTACTACTACTGCTTTATTTTTAACGTGGCCTCCAGCCTCCCCAATAGCCACACAACCACTGTAAAACATTACCTTAATAGTAAATATCCTAATACATAGAGTAGCTATCTATCTGTGTTGAATTAGTTGAGCCTCAGATCTATGCAGCATTCAGTGACTGTAGCCTCATAGTCAATACCTGCAGCTGTTGTCGGCATTGGGGCAGAAGCTCTCGTTCCACTGAGGCAGAGCAAAGCCGACCGAAGGAGAGAGAAAGACAGTCGACATCTCATCCAGGCTGTAACATAACTTCTGGGCTGCTGCTTCTGTTCGAAGATCACCTCCGCGAGTCTGGCGTAGAAACATCTTGCACTTGGTCCCATCCCACCAGAGGTTGTGAACACTAGAGGAGTGAAGCTGCCTTGATCAACGTTTTGGATTCTCTCCCCATATGCCATTATCTTGTCGTTCTCGTTCCTCCTATGTGCAGCATCGAGAGCTAGGTTACGGTGACATGCAGCCATGGGATAAAAAATCCTGATGTCGTAGAAAGCTCGCTGTCCCCGCGTCCAGAATCCTCGAGCACTGACGTCAACACGGGCTTCGTTAGATGTGTTTGAAGTCCTATGTTGGAAGATCTCACCATCCAATGGAAGGAGGGTCGGTTCTACCATGACATCCCGGCAGATTTCCTTCAACATATTTGCTGTGAGATCCCTTACCTCGTCATGCCTCATGCATATGAAGCCCCCTTTCTTGCACACCATGGCATGATCGCCATCATAGGAAGAGCCACACACGCATTGGGAGGGCAAACCTTTTACTGGCCGACCGTACCTTAGAGCAATGGCATCTGTAAATTCTTGTTTATTAAGACTGAAACCATTTGCCCTTATCGGTAACGTAGTTAACCAGTTCGAGGCGCCCACCTCCTGTGCTATAGCTACTTTTTTTTCAAATTTTCTGGTACCTGCAGCAACAGTTGCTGCAACTTATCATTTTGGCAGCGCTGTCGATCTGTCGTAATGGACCTACGAATCTTGTTTACCTCACTGGTATCCACTTCCCCCGTAGCATTCTGGGCTATTATGTGGTCAGTGAGGGCTGCCGTGAGCTTAAGTGAATTTTGATGTTCAGTGGCAGCAATCTCCTCTGGATTTGTTAGTCCCATCCCATCTTTCTGCTGGGGTTAAGTCAGGGTGTTTCACTAATTTAGGAATGAAATTGACACTGATAACTTCTTCCAGAGGGTGGAGGAGGGGTCCGATATCAGGGATAGTACGCATCAGGTAGTTACTACTACTACTACTACTACTACTACTACTACTACTACTACTACTACTACTACTACTACTACTACTACTACTACTACTACTACTACTACTACTACTACTACTACTACTACTACTACTACTACATATAAACGTGGCCTCCAGCCTCCCCCAATAGCCACACCTTCGCCACCATTTATTTACCTTAATATTAAATATCCTAATACATAAGCAACTATCCTATCTGTGTTAAATTAGTTGAGCCGCAGATCGATGCGGCATTCGGTGACTGTAGCCTCATAGTCGATATCTGCAGCAGTTGACGGAGTAGGGGCAGAAGCTCTCGTTCCCCTGAGGCAGAGCAAAGCCGACCGAAGGAGAGAGAAGGACAGTCGACATCTCATCCAGGCTGTGACATAACTTCTGGGCTGCTGCTTCTGTTCGGAGATCAGCTCCGCGAGTCTGGCGTAGAAACATCTTGCGCTTGGGCCCATCCCACCAGAGGTTGTGAACACTAGCGGAGTGAAGCTGCCTTGATCGACATTTTGAATTCTCTCCCCATATGCCCTTCTCTTGTCGTTCTCGTTCCTCCTATGTGCAGCATCGAGAGCTAGGTTACGGTGACAAACGGCCATGGGATCAAAAATCCTGATGTCGAAGAAGGCTCGCTGTCCCCGCGTCCAGAATCCTCGAGCACTGACGTCCACACGGGCTTCGTTAGATGTGTTTGAAGTCCTGTGTTGGAGGATCTCGCCATCCAGTGGAAGGAGGGTCGGTTCTACCATGACGTCCCGGCAGGTTTCCTTCAACATATTTGCTGTGAGATCCCTTACCTCGTCATGCCTCATGCATATGAAGCCCCCCTTCTTGCAAACCATGGCGTGATCGCCATCATAGGAATAGCCACACACGCATTGGGAGGGCAAACCATCTACTGGCCAACCGTACCTTAGAGCAATGGCATCTGTAAATTCTTGTTTGTTAAGGCTGAAACCATTTGCCCTTATCGGTAACGTAGTTAACCAGTTCGAGGCGCCCACCTCCTGCGCTATAGCTACTTTTTTTGTCAGATTTTCTGGAACCTGCAGCAATAGTTGCTGCAACATGTCATTTTGGCAGTGCTGCCGATCTGTTGTAATGGATCTACGGATCTTATTAACTTCGCTGGTGTCCACTTCCCCTGTTGCATTCTGGGCTATTATGTGGTCGGTGAGGGCTGCCGTGAGCTTAAGTGAATTTTGATGTTCAGAGTCAGCAATCTCCTCTGGATTAGTTAGTCCCATCCCTCCCAGTCTTGGTGGAAGTGCAAGAAGTGTTCTTTCTACTGGGGTTAAGTCGTGGTGTTTCACTAGTTTGGGAATGAACTTGACACTGGTTGCTTCTTCCAAAGGGTGGAGGAGGGGTCGGATCTCAGGGATGGTACGCATCAGGTAGTTCCAACGATGCTTGACTCCATGTGTGAATGCTGCAAAGGCCGCATGTGGCTCTGTGGTAGCAATCTCCGATAGAGCATGGATTTCGCTAACCCACTCGTTCACCTTTCCCCCTACGTACTGGGTCTTGAAGTCCGTAGTGCCAATTACTGCGCCTAGATGTCTTTGGCCGTCCTTAGTTATTTTGACCTCACTTTCGCCGAAAACCTCCACAGCCCGATCATAATGATCTGGCTTCACGATGAGGAAGGATTTGCTGGCGTTTGGGTGGTACCCTATTTGTGGACCTCGCGATGTTACCAGGTCCCACCACTTTTTGATGTCCTCCGCTTTTCCTGCTCCTGTGAGGTCATCAGCATATGCCACTTGTTTGACCCCAGTTGTTTCATACTTTATTTCTTGTTGGAGCACTGATAGGCCTATTGCATACATTGCCATTGCAACGGGGTCTCCCTGTGTTGTTCCCTCGGTCGACTGTAGGATGGTATCACCTCGTAGAGCCTTGTTGTTTACTACGTAGAGGTCTGAAGGATTCCTGTACGAATTTTCAACATACATCGCAAAGCTAGGACACTTGATCTTGATGTTGTGCAGTGCCGCCTTGCGGTTAAGTATGTTGAATGCGTTTGAAGCATCCACCAGGAGAACGGCCTCACAATCACGCTGCTCAAATATCAATCTCATGGCGTGAATGGCCGCCTCCCCACCAGCTTGGTGGCCAGCACACACTTGTAGGTTCCCTGCTGCTGCCCTGACATCATCCTTTACCACCTCCATTATACACTTTCCGATGATCCGCCCCAGCACTTCCCCCACCCCTATAGGTCTACATCCTGGTTTCTTTTCCAGAGGAATAAGGCGGCAGGCCGTCAGAGCCTG